CTATGAAGTATTGCAGTTTATTTGAGATTGTTACCGCTGACCAATGATGAATTTGAATTTGGAGTGAGAAATTTGAATTCGGAGTGAGAAATTTGAATTTGGAGTGAGAAATTTGAATTTGGAGTGAGAAATTTGAATTTGGAGTAAGAAATTTGAATTTGGAGTGATGAATTTGAATTTGGAGTGATGAATTTGAATTTGGAGTGATGAATTTGAATTTGGAGTGAGAAACTTGAATTTGGAGTGATGAATTTGAATTTGGAGTGATGAATTTGAATTTGGAGTAAGGAATTTGAATTTGAAGTAAGGAATTTGAATTTGAAGTAAGGAATTTGAATTTGAAGTAAGGAATTTGAATTTGATATCTGATTTATTAATGACGTTGCCCGTGTGGGCCACCGTAGTAAGCGATTTTCAACAAATACAATTTCGCTTGATTTTCAATTCAAAGGCCGTAAATCGCTAGAATACTGGTGCTTAGCAACACATTTGACATCCGTCAGTAATATTTCTTAATACGCTGAATCGAACGGTGGTATTTTTAGCCTTATTGCGCCATTAGGCATTACAAACACAAGGACAAACCTGTGGACAAACGTAGTGCGAGTGATTTGTGCTCAAGAATTCGTACTGCGAGCGATTTGTTAGCCCGCGTGCAGGCCCAAGGGAACTGATAGTGGGCCTGCAAGCAAGGCCCGGTATTTTGTAAAACGCCCCTTTTCATAACACGCCCCATTCGCGCGTCAATTGTCAAAAAGAACCAATGACAGCACCCAAATATTAACAAACAAACTCGCATTAAAATGTTGCGGGGTTTTCTCTGCTTTAATATTCAAAATAGAAACAATGTGTAAATGCCTGTGTTAAAACTCCAAAAAAACAAGCAACGCAGTCAGTAATTGCCAAATTTACAAGTGCTCATTTTCAACTAAAATCGGAACAGGCAAATTAAGACGAATTTCAACAGAAAACCAGTCTCAAACTTCAAATCGTGAGGGAAGTCGTGCGACCACATCAGCATTTATAATGTTGCTTCGCTGTCGCCATTGTTATAAATAAATTGTCTCATTTATCAGATCGTGTGTGCAATTCTTGTTGGCGGCGGAAAGTACGAAATTTATTTCAGTTATTTCATTTGGTGAGAACTCTACAAAAGAAGAGAGCGTTCAGAGTCCAGATCGTTTCGTTTCAAACGGCAATTTAATACCGTCTTCTCTTTTGCTCTTTCAGCGAAGCCTTGTAAATCGCAAAGTATTTTGAATAGGCTTACATGCAACTGCATCTCAACATCAACCAAAAGATAATTTTCTTGAGGAACATATAACGTATCAACTAAGTCTGTTTGAAATTAATGAAACTCAAGTAAAGGTTACTATAGTTTTATACCCCATTCGTAATAAATGTTGCTATTCCAACACCTCACGACAAGCAATCCTCATTGGCATAACGGCAAAAACATCTCTTCCTTCAAGTAAACAATAAACAGTCTGTTCTTGTCAGTGGCGGCGCCAGGGGGGGGGCAAGGGGGGGCAAATGCCCCCCCAAATTATTTTTTGCCCCCCCATTTTGCCCCCCCTCAAAAAAAATTATCAGTCACTAAGAGCGACTAAAGGCTACACAAGTGTTCTGTCGTTATCGGAAAATGTATGGCTTATAAGTTGTCATTACTCATTTGTGAATGCGCGTATACATGAAACTGTTTTTTACAGTTTCAATATTAGTTTGTAAATCTCTGAATGGTAAAACTTGCCAATACTCCAATAATACGTGTCAAAAAAAGACAAAAAAGCTTTAGTTTTGCAGAGTTAAATTCTCAAACGTGTAAGGCAATAGTAAGATGAAAGTATCACGAAATTATTTGAATAAACCACATCGCATATATGGGGGGCGATATTCCTAGGGTATTCGCCCCACCCCCCTGGGAGACGATATTCCTAGGATATTCGCCCCCGGGGGCGATATTCCTAGGAATATCGCCACGTTTTGAGGGGGGGGGGGCGAATTTCCTGGGGGGGGGCGACCTTTTTAAAAATTCGATCTTGCCCCCCCAAAATTTGAGTTTGCCCCTCAAATGCCCCCCAAATTTGGAAGCCTGGCGCCGCCACTGGTTCTTGTTCCATTTGTAATCGAAAAAAGTGATCAATTTTCGAATTTTAAGCTTATCGAGAGCCTTTGTCTATGCCTTTGTGATGAATCACTGACCTAATTATAGAATCCAACAGCAAACAGCCAATCAGAATGCTGCGTTCGTGGGCGAACGCGGAAAGTACAAAATACCGGGCCTTGCTTGCAGGCCCACTATCAAGTTCCCTTCAGCCTGCTCCCTTGGGCCTGCACGCGGGCTAGCGATTTGTGAACAATACAATTTCGCTTCATTTTCAAAGGCCATAAATCGCTAGAATACTGGTGTTTAGTAATACACTTGTAAGTACAATTAGGCCCCGTTTACACTATACCGGATTGCTATCGGAGTGGGTCAAATTTTGTAGGTATCGAAAGGCTGTGAAGATTTTTAATCTCAGAGACCCAAATAAACATGCCAATTCTGTCAAACTAATAAGCATTTGCTACTAACCATTGCTCCGTAACGGCAAAAGAAGATGTCGTGACCAGCGAATCCGGTATAGTGTAAACAGGGCCTTAATTTCTTACGCTGAATCGAACGGTGCATGTCGCTTTCTTAAAATATAAAAGCAGCGCAGCCAAACGTACTATAACAGTCGAAGCACGGGCAATAGGACAGGTGTAGTGTTGTTAAATACCGGGTGTCCCAAAAAAAAGTACTCCTGTTTGATTCGTAATAACTTCTAAACAAGTAAAGCTTTTAAAGAGAAATAACTTTCATTAAATAGAGGAAGGACCAACTTAGATTTTGATATATTACAGTTGTATTTTACTTAAAAATTCACGGATATATTAATGTTCAAAATCGGGAGCATATTTTGGGATGTGTCTAAAATTAGCAAAAATCGGCATATCAAATATTAACTCCAGCGTTTGTTTGCTTAATGACATATCAGGCTAACTTGTATTTCAGCGAATTATCGTTGGGGTTTGTAAGGGATATGGCGTAGATTTAGACATCTTACATGTAAGCCTTAGCTCATTGTTTCCTGAAATATGAACGTTCGAAATTATGCAAGTATTTAATATTAGGTCTTTACAAACTTAAAAGTACATGAAAGACCATGGAAGGCAGGCGCTTAAATTTTTCTTAAATAGCCTAATTTTTTTATGTTTTTATTGGGTTCAAACAGACTGAGTTGATTATTTCTCGGTTTGAGCAGGATGAATATTAGTCTTTATTGAAGGAAATAATATTGCTTTTTGCAAATACACATCACCGTATCAACGCTACTATTTTGTTAGGTTTTGTTCCAAAAATGTTGCATGTCTCTGGGGAGTTTCTTAATTGTTATGTCTTATGGAGTTATATGGTTTGATTGTGTTTCATATAATTCTCAGTTTACTCTGAACTTGCCAAGATTAAGAAAAGGCAAAAGAGTTAGGGTGTTCTTAACAAGATTTCAGAACGTTGCAGAAGTTAGAAGTGCGCCACAATTCCATTGTGACAGTATGCATTAGTGTCATCATTAGTGTAAAAGCATTAGTGTCATCAAATGAAATAATTTTACTACAATTTTCAATGTTATTAATATATAAGAGAAAAAGTAGTGGTCCAAGAATTGATCCTTGCGGAACTCCTGTAGATATTGTCCTTTTGTTTGATCTATGATTACCAATTTTAACAATTTGCGTTCTTTTGTATAAGTAGTTTTCAAACCATTTAAGACAATTTCCTCTTATACCATAATGTTCAAGTTTTTTTTAAAAGAATTTCGTGGTTTACTGTATCAAAAGCCTTAGATAGATCAAGGAAAATACAATATTGATGTTTAGATAAAATTTGTTTTTTCTCAATGTATGAAATCAGTCTTTTATACATCAGTTTTTCAAGCAATTTTGAAAAACAGGAGAGAACCGATATTGGTCTATAATTTTCAAACAAATGTTTTTCATTTAACAAATCTGGGATTATTCAGTTTTGAATAGTTAAGTTGAAAATATGTGCAAGAGGTTTACTGATCTCGTATTTTATTTTTTTTACCATTTTAGAACTTATTTCATCATATCCTGCACTTTTGTTTGTATTTAGTTTTTCAATCTCAGTTATTATTTCATATTCAGTAATAGGTTCAGCGAACATACTTTCTGGATAATTACCTTTGAGATAATTTTCGTATTTTATTGTGTCATTTTTTTTTTACACTTTTTGCCAAATTTGGTCCAACATTTACAAAATATTCATTAAATTTGTTTGCGATCACAACTGGGTCAGAAAAACTAACATCTGAATTCTTTTGTTGAAACGTGTCCGGCAATCTTTCTTTGTTTCTATTTCGATTTAATATTCGATTTATAGTTTGCCATGTCATTTTGTTATTGTTTTTGTACTTAATAAATTGATTTTCAAAATAAACTTTTTTTGTTATTTTGATTAAATGTTTTAATTTATTTTTGTAGTTTTTGTAGATCGTTTGGTTCTTTTTACTTGGGTTTTTAAGGCATTTTATAACTAGGATAACTAATCTTCCTTCAAAATGTGGCCATGCAATGGCATGCATTAAGATATCTCCGCACTATAGAAATGGCGTCATTCGTGCGTCCCTCTAATAGATCATTGCTCTCGACCAATCAAACGGCAGTTTGAACTCAGATTATCATATAAATTTGAACTCAGATTATCATATAAAATTATATAACGTACATGTGGCAATGAATTCTTAAAATTCTTATTTTGCTATTTGTGAAGCAAAACAACGTGAACAAATCGGCCACGTTCTTCAGTTTTTCTTATCTGTCGCCGATGTATTCAAGTGTAAATCCATTTGCATGCGATATATTTCTCAGTCACAAAAACTTTATACAGCTTCCAATCAAAGTGTCACTGTAAGGCTGTGTGAAGAGTATAGCATCTTTATAGAAAACCGGATTTCAAATATTTGAGAAAAAAATGCCCGAGAACATATCCTAGGTCGCTTCTCATCAGTTTAAATTGTGTTTTTGTTCTTTCAAACTTTTTAAGTGCATTGCATTGCATTACGGACATCGCTTGAGACAGCATGGTAACAACTCCATGCGTCAATTGCTGGAGAATAGAATTTTACTTTCTTGAATCTTTTTTTATAATATTGAACAGACCACCTCTGGATTTCTTTTTCGTTGCTGGGCTTTCTTTTTTCTCCACGATCTGTTTATATTTCTTATCCGTATGCGGACTGCCTCGCGGACTTCCTCTAAGTCTGTATGGTTCGCTATATCCAAGAGCTACAGCAAGCTTTTTCCAAAAATAAGGATGTTCACTGGAATCTCCATAATTTAGATGATAGATTGGCTTTAAAATTTCTGGAATGTCGCAATTTTCATACAAGATTGGGATCACTCGACGTTGGTCAAAATCTAAAAAGAAACATTAATTCCCCATAATGGTATATACAATGCAACGCAACGCAACGCGATACAATAATTAAATATTATATAACACCCAAGTTAAATTTTGGTTATTTCATTTGCTTGTTATGATCACGAGATATGGAATAAAAATAACCAGTTACTCTCAGCCGTGCATTTTTGTACTATTTACAGCGGTCCTGCCTGGTACGACTATAGGAGGAAACTAAGTCAGTCTAGAGTATACTAGTCAGTCTGGAGTATACTAAGTCAGTCTACTCAAGCTGGCATAAATAACTCTAGCTGATGCATGTCTGGTAGCGATCTCGTTGTCTAAAATATTTTTTGGGACATATATTTGTTGGATTTCTATTAATTTTAAACATTGCACATTGTTATTGATTTATTTTGATGCTATATAAAAAACAAATAAGAAATCTTTTCATTCGTGCAATAGTAAAAATATTTCCATTCGGTGAACGATTTTTTCATATTCCACTCATCAACATTTATTATTTGTAGTATAATAATAAAAATTTACCAAAATTACATATTCAATCCAGTCAATATCGAGGATGAGAGTTTTGTTGCATGAGAGTTTTCTCTTACCACAACGACAAGAGAAGTTGCACGAAAGTTGATTGGATATTACCGATCGCGTAGTAAAAACACTCATCAACTCTTATCAAATTTTAACCAGCTCAAAGTTGATGAGAGTTTATGAAAATGCACGAGTGGCTGGCAACGAGAGGTGGCTGGTAACGAGAGGTGACAGTCAAACGCCTGGCAAGATCAACTCTCGTCAACTCTCACCTTCGTTCAGTGAAGTAACTGTCATGCCTCATGACGCGTCATTATAATCAGACAACAGTGTAGGAATCGCCCCCTCCCCCCTGATACATGCAGTAATAATTACTGTATGCACTAACAACCAATTAATGTGCCACCAGCACTACGTAAACCTAAGTCTATCCGACCTATCAAGGCAGCTTAAACATACGTTTTTGTGGCTAGCCCATTCGCGGGCTAGCCACAATGTAACGCTAAAATTGTAAGACTATGTGAAGTTGTGACGGAGATTGTCGACTTTACTTCGGAAACTGTCGTTCAATGTTCATGGCATCAGAAAAGGTATTTAACAACTTTAATACTGGAAGAACTGGAAGTGGAGATGCCTCACTTAGCAAAATTACAGTTAGTAACGCTGGTAGAAATACTCGAAGGAATTTTTCACAGCAAACGGTAAGTTTAATTTTCGTTATTTCAATCGAAATTTATGTTCATAATTTGTGAATCTGTCATGTCATTGCTATTCATGTCTGCTATAGTCTGGACTCTGCTTTTAGTCAAAGATATTTTGATCACGCTTCATATAAAGCTTTATAGTGAGTTTATAATACTGTTTATAATCAAATGTGCTTGCACAGATCTTGAATTTTAATATATCATTATGTGGGTAAATTAAGAAGCAAGCCCATTGCTGTTATATTATACTAGAACTGCCCTATCCACTTACTGCAGGTATATTTTACACTAGGATACCTGCAAGGTAGGGATTGCTGCGGGCATTAAAAGCAAATAGAACTACAGTAAACAGCACAGATTATATCAAGCACAGTGATTACTCGCAGCGACTAGTGAGCTGTGAATGGAACTGAGAAGAAGCAATATATATTGAAGTAGCAAAGTACCAACTGTAATTTCGAAGTACCAACTGTAATTTTGCTAAGTGAGGCATCTCCACTTCCAGTTCTTCCAGTATTAAAGTGGTTAAAGGGCAATCAGAGGTGACAGATATTAAACATGTGCGTCTCATTGACATACAGGTAAATTAAGATCAGATTTCATATCAAGTCTGTTTACTGCTAGGCGCATGTACCACATTATATAGACTATATACACAGATTTATCACACTAAGAAACCAAAACTTTATAAAAATATAGAACTGACAGTGGCCAAAGTCCAATACAAATGTAAGCGTAACATTAGACATGAAAAAGCTTTAGAAATTCGGTAAAAATAAAAAACTCGAACGAGTTTAAAATGTGTGTTCTGCGCATAGAAATCGCGCACGACCACAATTCCATGCGCTAAATAAAATTTAGTTCAAAACCCCCTCTCTGCATATATTAGGTTGCTGCTACGCTCGCTCGCTTCAGGCTCGCTCGCTCCGCAGCAATTACTATAGTCTTTAAATTAATGGTCATTGGCATCGCACCGACTGCAAATTAACGGGTGCTATTATTGAGATCTATTGCCGATTCAAGGATTGTTTCCCACCACAATTTCACACACAGTGCAATGGAAGCTAAGTCTGTTTACGTACAGTTGAATATTAATCTTCTAGATGGAAATAATTGAGTGAAAATGTATTTACATTCATTATAAGACCTAACCAGGAACAGCTGCAAAAAATGCAACTGTAGGTGCAGTTTATTTTTGGATATCCGGTCCAGATGTAAATAATATCTGATCTATAAAGATCAGCAGGGACATAGCGACAGGGAGTGTGGGGGTGTAAACCTCACAAAATCAAGTATAAATCTTAACATTTTCAGGTAAAATTTGCATAATAAAGTTGGTATTTTTGTGAAATGATAACCATTTTTGATACAGTCAATTTAGATCCAATTTGTTTGTAAATGTGCTTTAGAAAACACCAGAAATGCAGTTCTGGAGCTTTTCTTAGGGAACTTAGTATGACAGTGGAATTATTACACTTCAGGTAGATTTTTAACATTGAAGTTCAAATTTCAGGTAAAATTCTCAGGCACCCCCCACCTAATGACAGATGCTTTGCTACGTTCATGAAGATCAGTGCAATCACTATACAACACTGACCCTAGCAGTTGAGAGGGTATATGAAAAAGCAAACCCACAGCCATAATGTGCTGAGGTCATATCGACAAGTTTCAACCTTTCTTTTCAGCATTTAATAACAGCAGTGTCAATTGAGTAGCATGTTCATACTTTTATAGCTAGAGTTAAATGTTGTTTAAATTTATACCTGCATCATTTACAATATTTCATTTTTGTGATCTGCCAGTAAATACACTGTATTTGGTTCTTAATTTTAAACAATTTACAGATAAAAGCCCAATTCAAAATCACAGTGATGCATGACATCTACAGTACTTCAAACGACTAAGTGAACACATATTCTGGACAATTTGCTGATAATATGGTGACTGGTGATAAAATAGGATAATATAGGAAGATCATGATATGCAAGTATCATCATGAGGACAATACAACTATCAGACAAAAGTTTTAGTGGTGATGACATAATGGGTCATTCCAGAAAAGATCCATACTCCCCCCACGGAGGAAATTTCTGCTGTCCGGAGGGGGAGGGGAGACAAAATTGTTTCTGATAAATGTATTAGGACATCACAAGGGGGTAGGCCGGGGTTAACTTCCAATTTCCTCTGTGGGGGTGGTATGAATGTTTTCTGGAATGACCCAATTGATTGGATGAGTTCATTATAAATTCCGATGCTTTTAGATCTTATAAATTACAATAAATAAAAACTGTTTAGAAATCTAGCATTAAATATTATATTAATGAAGAACTTTGAATTTAACCCATTGAGCCGCAATGCGCCCCATTGCGCCCTACTTTTTTTTACTTGTCTAACGCCAGACGATTTTACTCGTTAGTGGGGAAGCTCTGCAGCTTAATGGGTTAAAGGTTTTATGAAAGGTTTCAAGAAAAGCTAATAACTTGTAAACCAGACACCAGAATATATTTGTAACAAGAAACCCATGTAATGAAATCTTAGTGAATTACATATTTGTGAAATTAGTGAATTACATATTAGTGAAATTTTGAAAAACAATAAAAGTGACATCATTAGTTGCTGCATATATGTTTATTATTAAAGCAAAACATTTATTAATTAAATTGTGACTCAATAATATTGTTGGCTGCACCATTGCTAGCAAGTACCAACCATTGCATTTAAATCGAGTGATTGTAGCCATTTCTTGGCATTGTAAGAAAGATACTCAACATCTGTTTTATTTTGAACATTCTTCTATTGTAATTATTAATTTTGTATCACAATGAATGTTTGTGATGAATGTTCATGACAATGTGAACTCCAGCTGTATTCGACAGGCTGAATAGTGAATAGGCTAGCCACATGTGCGCAGTGCGTACCTATTTTTGTACAAGGGCTGTTTGATGCCAACAGACCTTTCCTGCACGCAGTAATAGTATACGTGAAAAATGCGTTGGTAAATTTTATTGCATGGGTATTGAAAAAGTTCAGACAAAAGGTACTTTGGACATTCTTAACATTAAAACTAATTCAGTACAACCGAGAGTTCACGCAAAAAAAAGTTTAAAGAACTAAGATTTCCAGGAGCAAAAGGTGGCTATATGTGGGCAATTTAACCCACATCCTACCTCCCTCCTCTCAAAAACAATTTCGCAAGTGCCCATTACTTTTTACAGGGTGAGATCGACAAAGATTACAACATCTTTCCTAGTGGTTTATTAACGTTGCAGGTTAGACTCACCTGGGGATAAATTCAACGCGATCCTGACTTGAAAACCAGCATTTGAAGAATTTGTAAAATTTGGCGACAAAATAGCAACTAAATGTTTACATCGATGTTCTATGATCTTAGCTGTTTGATCCAATCGACAATTTCCTGGTACGTAGTCACGAAAGTCGATACAAATTTTACGACAATATGGAGGAGCTTCCAACCGCGTGAGTATCTCAAGTGCGAAGCTTCTGTCTTCTTTCGCATAACAAATAAATCCATCAAAAATTTCATCTGAGACTAAAGGAAATAAAGGAATGATAAAATCGCGGGATATGGTTGTTTTTGAAAATGTATTGTGAAACTTAAACTTAAATAAATTGAAATTGAATTGAATTGACATGTTAAGCCAGTACACAGCTTCGTTCTCCGAATTAAAACCGTACTATAACGACTTGACAAAACAAAAACATACTTAGAGTTTGAACAAAGGTGCTGTTACACTACTTAAACTTTAAAGAATGAAATAAATACCAGTTAATTGTTCCAGTTCAATGGGTAATTTACCAACAGCAGGACTTTGACTGTAATTTTCTGAAACTGTATTGGAATAAATTTTTTTAACAGTTAAAATATTAGGCCTATATGTAGTTGGGTGACCACATTAGTCATTACCGACAGTTCTAGAAGAATGTTTTAATTTCATATATTTAATACAGGACCACTATACCTTTCTTCTTTCTTCTTTCTTCATATAATGATGGTGTAGGTGTTTCACCTGAAAAGATGGAATAACAACAATAACAACATATTCAGAAACATTCTCTTAAATTTTCTCAAGCAAGGGCGGGGGGGGGCTCAAAACTGGTGCATGGGGCAATCTCACAAGCAGCCTCATACAAGTCAGCTGAATTATATTCGGACTATATACCAATTTTAACTTGTAGATAGGTGTGCACCGGAGCTCGGTTCCGGCCGGAACCCCGATTTTTCAGAGTTCTGGTATTTTCTTGATTCTTTCGAATATCACTTTTTTTGTTCTTGGACTACCTAGTTAGGTAGTCCAAGAACCAAAGAAGTGGTACAGGTACCAATTTTATACGGAAATCTTTTTTACCAAAAAAGTGGTACTGGTACCAATTTATCCGTGCTATACCAAAAATTGAGCGTAGTGTAAACGGGACTTAAAACTTTCAAATTTAAAAATACTACAGACTTGTTAATAGCCCATGCATGTGAAGGTCGATCTTCCAATTATCGTGTAGATGATTGTGATTGGTTAATTGCCGGGAAGTCAAATGTATGGCGAATGTGAGCAGACGTTAGGTGGGGCCTCGGCCACTAACAACGTCTGCGCAGGAGACTATGGAAATCTATTCCAAATGGAATTAGGGAAAGCAAATCTCTGTCATGCATTCAAAAGAATATTGCTGCTCACATTTTCTAAATAAATATACAGTCTAATAGTTCTACTATTCATAAATAACTATTCTCTACTATTTCTATAATATTTGTACTTTTTACTATTTGTAAATAACTATTCCTGTAACTACGTTTATATTACTGTAATTTCTTTTCTACTAATGTAATTTTCTTCTTGCACGCCCCCTGTGGAAATCAGCTTTGATTGACAGGGTTAGCGTGGATAAATAAAGTTTTTCTATCTATCAACTGCATCCATAGAAATAATAGACATAGAATGCGTGCTCCTATCTTTTCTCAGTAAAAAATTTGTCTCCACAAAATGGCGCATTGAAAAGGGCATTTTGGTTGGTCCCAGACTCCTGAGGCAGGGAATTTCGCGCGGTTGCACGGAGTGCGAATTATTTTTTCAACTGAAAAGTTTGCAAAAAAATTTATATCGGGACTTAAAATGGAAAAAAAGTTTGGTAAACTAAGGAAAAGTGTCTAAAAACCCATTCCAGTGGGTTTTTTACGAAAAGCAATAGTTCTGAACAGAATATATGCAGAAATCGTCGTTTAAAAATAAATTTTCAACGTTATGTTGTTGTGCAAGCCAAAACAAAACACAAAAGATCAAGACAAACTCAATAGGTATGTTCTACAAATATTTCAACTCTTTTACAATATAAATGGAGTTCAATAATCTTTTTAAACTTACACAATTATATTTCATATTTTTCTACGTTGCTTGAGCTTGAGGCAACGCTTTTGAAACCATGGTTTTCGACGATTATTTTTAGGCAATTTTACAGTTTATCGACAACTATAAAATGTTTCAAGAACATGAAAACACTTCGTTTACATTGCAGAAAAACGAAACCCGACGAAGAAAGAACTATCATTTTGTAATCTTATAAGATATTAGCAAAACAGTTACGTTTAGAGCATGCAAAAATGTTTTGAGTAAATTATATTTTCGCGAAACTACTTTGCTTTTAAAAGGCTGCACGATTTTCACTGTTTTCATAGTGTTTTGTAACTGCACATTTGCTTTGACAGTTTGTGCCTTCAAGGAACTCAAAATCTATCCCCAAACTACAAATTAGACAACAAGACAAAACGTTTTGTCGATGAAAACGTAGTTTTAGCTTTGTTTATACTTAGTAGTTTGCACTCCTGGCCAAAATTCAAAATGGCGCATTCAAAAGGGCACGCACCACTGAACTATATAACATGGAAGTCTGACTCGAGCTCAAAAAGTGAAGCCAACATGGCGGAATTTGAAGGCATTCTTGCGCGTCATTCTCAGTCCCCTTACGTGCGCGGTCAACAAAACTTTTATATTTTTCTTTACTTTCCGAGTAAAAATCTGGTGAAAAACATACGAAATTTGAATGAAAAGTTGAATTCTGGTATTTTGTTTGGGTTCGGTTATAAATTTTAATTATTATTTGTTTAGGAGATGTGATATTTGAGTGGAAAGAAAGCAAAATAGCGCGGGATTGCTGTTTTTGTAAAATGACAAGGAGTGACAAAACAAAACACAAAGTCACTCAATCTTTCAAAATATCTCTATTGCCCCTATCGACAAGAGTTTCACACACATGAATAACTCATTAAAATGAACAGTTTAAGTTTATAAGGCAAACATCAAAGTGATTTTATTAAATAGAAAATAAAAAAACAAAATTTTCTTACATGTATGGAATTAAATTGGCTAAAAACTGCCTCGAAAACTGCAGTTAAAAAGCAGTTTTAGGTCAGGAAAACCGACTAAAATAAGCTAAATAATGGTGTGAAAACTGAAAAGCACCATAGAAACAAGAAAACGAAACAACCAAAGCAAAAATAAATTGCCAATTTATAAAAATACAGATTTTATATCAAAAAAACAAAAAAGTTTGAAATTAGTTGTTGAATTCGCAACGAAAAATACAGATTTACTCACACATACAGTGGGAAAATGCAGTAGACAGATCGAGTAGATGAAGGAAATCAGGTTTACATGAAATAAATGAAGTTTATTTCCTTTTTTGCTCTTTTAAAATGAAGAAAAACACAACCCGAGAATCGCGGACCCATCACTTCCCGCCATGAAAATACAAAAAATGTTTGGCCGCGCGGGTAGGGGACTGAGAATGACGCGCAAGAATGGCTTCAAAATCCGCCATCTTTGGCTTCACTTTTTGATTACGTCAATGACTGAAGTCAGCCTTCCATGTATATAGTTCACTGGTGAGAACTCGATTTTGCATGCATGTACAACAGGTGGGCAATTTGTCTGAGCATGCGCGAAGAAAATCAAAATGGCGACATATATTTAGGAGTGCTTCGTGGGTATATCTGGTTTTAAAGCTGATAAAACAACATTTTAATGAACCGCATAAACTTTGTAATATTTAGTGGAAAACATTAAGCTGTACAATCCAAAGATTTTAAATTAAAAATAAGTACTTTTGCTTTATTTTATTGCTTTTTATGCTTTGAAAACAGGCAAGCTCATTTTTTTGAAAAATTCTAATCTAATATTTTACCCATCAGTTGTCTAATCTGAACAGAAATTGATAGAACATTTGGCTATAATAAGTTACAAAAATTACTGTTAGCTGTTCTGAAAGATTTCAGTATTCCTGGTACACATTTTAACAAAGAATGAAATGTAATTTTAAAAATTAAATATGCATATAAAAAACAATAGTTTTTATTAGAACAACATAGAATAAGTTGTTATTTTCTATTTTTACAAAAACAAGTTTGGAAACAGGATCTAGTCCTCCAGCTTGATGCCATATTCCATTTATTTGGATATTTGAATAAAGGAATGTGAAATAATAATTGAAACTTGATCAAAATTTGATACCAACACTCAAGTGAACAGATACAATCACCTAAAAATAAAAGAAAACAGAACCTAAATTTATCATCTAATGCCATGAATAAATCTTAGATATCACACGCATATAGTGAGCACAACACTTTAACAAACTCACTAAAATAAGTTAAGTTATGCTATGATAAGAGGATGGCAATATATGACAACATCAAATGTCACCATATTCAGTGTCCAAAAAAAGTGCCGCGCGCATTTTTCATGGTCGTATAACTGGTATTACCACAAACCCAGGTGAAAAAGCAATTAGAAAAACCTGGTTTCGGATGATGAGCATAGTCAAATTCTTGACTTATTCAATTTTCTAAGTTATTCCAGGTAAACAGGTTCAGCATTGAAATAAGCCCCATTCGGGACCTTATAGAATCCAAAATATTGTGTATGGACCATTTTTAGTGTGAAGTTTCACTTCACACTATTGTGATGGCTGGCGAATTCACACGAATCAGTCAGTCAGTCAGTCAATCATAGAGTAAACTTTCCGGGGGGTGTATACGATTTATGTTCGCAGTGATT